AGAAGGTGCCTCCATCACCTCCCCCCACACCATGACTCCCTTCCCCAAAGCGTTCCAGGCCCAGAGCAACCCCACAGCAGGGACAAACAAAGGTGCCAGTGATAACAGGGGTGGAAATGCACTAATCTTCTCAAACAGCATGAAGGGGACAGCTTTTTCAAGTCATACTTTCTGGATAGATGCAAGAGTAGGGTATGGGAACAGCCGGCTAACGTTTGTTTCCCAGACACCACTTCCTCAGCACTTATCAACTTACCGTTACCCCTCTGTTTGAAAAGCAGCACTGAGGCAGGAGGGAAAGTGATGGGAGCATAAACAGTCACCACCAGGGCAGCATCCAGGCGCAGGAAACGCTCCAGCTTGTGCTTATCAGCTAGGACAGAACAGCAACGATCAAGTTCAGGCCCACAGCAGTCCTCAGAGCTCCGGGAAACCCCATCGAGCCCATTCTTTCCCGGCAAACAGACTCTGTGCTTTAGGAAAACAGGTGACAGACACCCCTCCTCTGCCGGCACAGAGTATCTGGGAATGAAGGTGATCCTCTGAGCTGCCAGCTCGCTGTGTGGAGCCTGCCACCACCTTGCCTGGACCAGTGAGCAACCTCGCCCAAGCCCTTCCACTCCCCACTATTTAGTGCCTCCCCTGGAAGCCTCAGAGCCTAGGAGTGAGTCTTCAGAAGAGTCCTTCAGCCAGGTTCAGACACCACGGCTAAGACATCACAGGCTTCCTGCCCCAGAAACTCCAGCCCCACCTCCTGGCACACCCGTGCCCATGCCACCGGTCCCTCACAAACCTGAGGTGTGCTGGGAGAACAGGGGGGATGCTCGGAAGCGCCTGAACCCACAGTGAAAGATCAGCTCCTCCTTTGCCCGCACTGGCTCGCTGTTGCTCGGATGCCGACGCACCAGGAAATTCAACACAGACATCTGCAGGAGAGGCAGCACAGTGAGGGGCTGACAGCAGGGCTGGAAAACAACGGTGGCCAGAGCAGAAAGCAACGGGATGTTGCAGCAGGGACAAATGCCCTTGATGATGGCTTCCCAAAGGACCGCTGGTCACCAATGCAGACACCTCAGCCAGGCTCAGACACTTAAGCCTAAACACCCCTGGCAGCTTCAGCCTGCTCTGACCTACTTTGAAATGTGAACAATGCAGGGAGATTTCAACCCAAACCCTCTGGAGCCAGAACCTCTCCAAACCGCGCAGCCTGAGGGAATCGGAGAAGGAGCTGCACACCTGCAAGAGATCAGCAGGATTGTACTTAGTTACCTTTTGTTCGTGGGGAAGCAGTGAGAACAGGACTAGGGGCTTCCCTTCTCTGAAGCTCTCCATCACCGAGACAGGGACATTGCAGACATGAAGTGTAACATACCAGCCAACCTGCCAAGAGAGGATCAGTTGCAAATACTTCTCTCGGCAGAGAACTCAGCCACTGCCCTGCCAAGTCCTTCCTACTAGGAGCAAGAGAACACAGTAGGGGAAGAGATCAGCAAGAGAAAAGGGAGTTACCGAGGCTCCTTCAGTCTCCTCTTTCTCGATTTGCCGGAAGAGGTGCTTTCTGGTTCGGGAGAAGTCCTGGAACTGGAAAATCCTGGCGTAGTCCCTTGGGAGATTCTCTTTGGGGTCCCATGGAGAAGTTCGGAAGCTCTTCAGCCCCCTGTACTTCTGGAACCTAAAGGACAGATAACAGGAAAGACAAACTACTTCACAAATCAAGGTGTCTGGCCAGCAACCTTCTGTGGTCGCACCTTCAGAGACGGCAACGAGAGCAAAGCAAACATTAGCTCTCAGAGAAGATCTTAGTGCAGGGAGAGCTAGAAAGAGCAGCCACGTCCCCAGACAACCTGCCCTTGCATCAGGGCTCTGCCATCCTCCTCCCTCCCTCAGGTCAGGACCCAGCTCTCCCTGCCCCAGGGAGCTGCCCAGGCCCACCCACTGCTCCCTGTCTAGTGCCTCCCCTGGAAGCCTCAGAGCCTAGGAGTGAGTCTTCAGAAGAGTCCTTCAGCCAGGTTCAGACACCACGGCTAAGACATCACAGGCTTCCTGCCTTATCTCACCAAACTAGATAAAAGGGTGCCTTCCAGCTCCCCTCCCAGCAAAGCATCCTGCTTCTTACCGGACTCTGGCAGGTACGTCACGTGGCGTGTCCACCTCATCCGGAAACATTTCATCCATTCTCTCCTGTTTGTATCTCTCCAACATCTGTTCATCTTCCTCCACCTTCTCGTCGTACTGGTCGTCCCGCAAGCACTCAGAAATGGTCATGGTCTCACATTCCTCCTCTGCAGGTTCCTCTTCCTCCTCGCTGCTTTCCCCCTCCTGACACACAGGACAGCACAGAGCCCATGAGCACACGCGCGCTGTTGATGTCCACGCAGCACTGCAAACCCCGCGTGTACTCGCACTGTTTGAATTATGCCCCAAGCTCCACCACAGTCCCTCATTTCGGTATCTAACAGGCCAAAGAAGCAACATGATACACGTGAGAGATTTAACAATGGAAATCCAGGCAAGTCCTGGCTCTGTGTTGTGCCCTTGCATGGAGCAAGCTGGAAGGACAGGATTGTCCTAGGATACGCAATAACGCCCTGGAGATCACTTGCAGTATCAGCTCTTGGAGGTACCTGGGAAACTGCCTCTTCCATCATATCATCCTCAATGTCGTCATCATCATCATCATCATCTTCCTGATTGCCCTCTTCTCCATCATCCACGATCCAGGCAGCCTGGTACTTGGATGTGCCTTTGGGGACCTTCACCACCCTCCTGCTTGCCTTCAGAGAAGCTGTAGGATTCCCGCCAATAGTTAATACAGGAACAATTCTCCTTTCCCTCAGCAACATTGACACCGGGACAGCCAAGATCAGCTCTAGACCAGAATCACTGTTTCCCAGCACAGAATTTGTCAGGGCCCAGAAAAGGCAGCTGAAAATGTAACCCTGCTAACTGCCAGGGAAACCACACAGCCTGGTAGTCAAGTGATGGAATGGAAGTCCTGGGCTCCCAACTAACGTGTTTCTTCACAGCCACCCTCAGCCATCCTGGTGACAGAGAATTTCCAACAACCCTCTTAACAGGGACAAGGAAAAGGTACAGAAGTATTGCTGCTACTCACCCTCTGCTTCTTGCAGTTCTTCTTCAGTAGGCCACGTCTGTTCCCCTTCCATAGGATCAGGAACCACTTCTGACTGCAAAGACTCCTGTTTGTTTGGATCTGCCTTCATCAGGACCTTAACATCTTCCTCCATCTCATCGGTACCATTTACAGAGTCATCCTGAAGGGCAAGAGCAGAGTTCCCAGCTGTGAATACACCTAACTCAAGCTAGCAACCGGTCTGAAGCAGAAGTCCCTTCAGTATCACATTCATTACATCGTAAGATAACGTTCGTTACATGCTGTGGGCAAGGAACCTCAGCTCAGTGGCAGAACACGGCCCAACCGGCTCTGATACAACTCCCTTTCCCCTCCCCTTGACCACATACACCCAGCTGTATTTTCCTGATGAAAGTTTAGAAACATCGTGTTCTAACAGGACCGGCAAAGCCCTGACCTCCCACACACCTGTACCTCCATGTCCTGACTCCTCTTCCGTCCTTTAACCACTCGGGGGTTCAAAGTGAGGGGGTCGGGGGGGGCATCCACCTGGCTCATCTGGAAGTCTCCGTGCCCCACAATATGCACCAGGCTGTTCACGTTGAGGGTCTGTCCCCGGACAAAGCCGGACACCTTCAAGGTCCCAACCAGGTCGCTCTCCTGACCGGGCACAAACTCAGCAGCATAGGCAAGCAGGTGAGCCCGCCTGTCCCGAAAAGCGAGATGCCGCTGCTTCTGGGTGGCGAGGTGCCTCAGCAGCAGCGAGGACTCCTGCTCCGTGTTCAGGGGGAAGAGCTTGGCCTCGGGAAAGCGCTTCTCAATGGCTTTGGCAAGTTTCTTCCTGGCATCTATCCGCTTCTTAGGTGGCAAGTCAGTGCCCCCTGGGACAGCAAGAGCTACCAAGCAGTGCATAGAACAGAGTTCAGGATCAGACCATAAACCTTCTTATACCCCTTTTACCAAGCACTGACAAACACTCAGATATCAGCAACCCAAATAACCAAAGAGATTCACACCACAATGTGCAAAGGCAGCTTCGCACATTCAAAAGAACACTCAGGACAGAAAACCTGTCCTCAGAGATAAGATTTTGAGACTGAATGAGATCATGGAGATAAGGGCCCAGAAACTGAACTGAACAAGAAAGCGTCTGAATCCCTTCACTCTGCACGCCTAGATAACCATTACAATACTAGACACCACCACACACCCAGAGGCCTAAAGAGCACCCCTTTTATCTCCAGCACTCCCCCACCAGGGTAGTAACACAACAAGGCAGCAGGAGAATGGCATTCACCCAACCAATCTATGCTCAGAAACAGAGCGGTCAAAGACCTGTGATCACCTATTAACATACGCAGTTTTTAATTACTGCAACACTAAATCCCCATCGAGCACCCCCTCGACCTATGCCTCACTAGAAGCCCTTAACGTTTCTCACTCACTCACCATAACTGGGGAGCCCCTGTGTGAAGAGGCAGGAGAGGCAGTGCTCCCCCGCGCTGTCCCAGCCATCTGCAGGATCCAGGATGAACAGGAGGGAGTCAGCAACCTTTGCTAGGTCTAAGACAGCGTGAAGGTCCCCTGCACGCAAAACACCTCCGTTACTGGGGCTGCCAGGGGTACGGAGCCAAGAACCACACCAACAACAGCGTTTCCTCACCTGCCTGTGCTGTCACAAAGCGCCAGCGCTGCTTGAGTCGGGGGCAGAGGAGCGCAAAGCCACCAGCTCTCCCCTCATCCACGCGCACAACAGCAGAGTCCTGGCTCTGCAGCAAGCGGAGGGCGTCGTGGGCTGCAGCCCTACTGTGCAGCGGCACCAAAACCACGAGGTGCGGGGGCCCGTCCCTGCTGCCCAAGCTCCGCTTCTCCGCCAGCACCTGTGGGCACAACTGCAGAGCATGAACCCTGGCCCCAGTCCAGCTCCTATCCTGCCCCTCAGATCAAGACCGGATCCCTCCACAGCTCAACCCGAACCCACCGCGGTCCAATAATGCTCCACTCGCCCCGAACTGACCTGACCCAGGCACCCGTTCCTCTCCCTGGCCCAGCTCCTGATTCCCCCACAAAGACCCAAACTGGCTCGGTCCCCACAGACACACACCCACATCGAGACCCGCACCGGCCCCATTCCCGCTCCTCGCTGCCCCCTCGCAAAGACCCGAACCGACCCGTTTCCCGCTCCCCCCGCAACAACGCAACCGGCCCGGCTCCGGTTCCTCATGCGGCCCGGCCCGGTTCGCCCGCGGCCC